CGTCACTCCCCCCACCCCCTTTCATGGTCTCAACTTACCATAGCACTAGATGTTATTTATGCATTGTTCATAACTATTCTATTTATAGACAAAACAACAGGAAAGTAAACTCTTAAAATTCTTTCTTTTAAACTATTCAAATTCATCAACTGTCAACCGAATTTCAGTTTTTTTTGGTACCAAAAATTAGATCTTGCTTCGAAGATGGAGATGTACAAACCGTGTGAAACCAGTAACGGTTGGTCAAAGGGGTAGCCTAAATTTATTTCTTTCATTTCACATGCTACTAGTGTAAGAAAGTCATTATATGCACTTTGTATATCACCTTCTAAATTCATTTTACGTTCTATAGAAGTTATTGTTTCTTTAACTACTTCCAAAATTTCAGAATTTGTTAAAAAGTCATTAGGAATTGTTGTTAAGTCAAACTTGCTTACAGTTTCTGATTTGTTTTGTGGCTGTACACTTGTCACGTCACTACCTGTTTCTGTTTCCCAGATTAAAATAGAATGGTCTGGAGAAGAATCTGGGTATCACCCAATAGTACTTTTTAGCTCAGACATGCTAAGGACGGTAAAGGATTTGATGGTATCTATGTTTTCGTTGGGTACACACACATAATCAACAACAGATTTACCGAGCGTGGAGATACAGGTAAAGTCTTGTGTTCCCACCCGTCCATTTAGCATTCCAAAACTAGACACAGTTAAAAAATCTATAAAAAGCTCACCAAATTTGTTGTTTGTCATCAATGGTATCACGCGGGACTAAATAGTCAACTCCATCAATTGTGTCAGAAATGTCACCACATCTTGAGTTAAAATCACCAAATAGTTGAATATCTCCAATATTTTGAAAGCTGTAAATCTGATTTTCAAAGAAGGTATTCGGATCTGTGCGCCGTGTTGTACCATCTGGTGGGAGGTAGCATATAGCGAGACACATTGATAAGTTTGAGTTAATTCCTGTCACGTGTATCCACAAGATGTCTTCAAAACTACTATCTAAAATATTCACTTTTAAGATACTACCTATGAGTTCTTTTTTAACAAGGAAACCAACCCCTCCACTACCCCTTTTTGCTTTTTTGTTTACTGTTTTGCGGTTATGGCCGTACCATTTGTAGCCGCTTACATCTAAAATGTTATCTCCGACTAAAAATGTTTCACAAAGTCCTAGAATGTCACAATCTGTGTAATTAATCACATTTCTCCGGAAGTCGTCATGTGTGCTTTTATTTGTTGGAAATCCTCGACTGTTCCAGGTCCCCAAACGGAAACACCTTCATGCAATTTTATTAAAAATTCTACCATTTTTAAAAACAAACTTTTTATCTGTTCCAAGATGCTTAATAACTGTTCTTAAATTGTGCTCTTCTTTCAGTTCCTCTGGTGATTTCATACTTTCGATGTAAACACGACTATACTTGGGTGAATGTTTCAGTGATCTCTTTTTACTTAACAGTTTATGTTTTTGATCGGAGTTATCAAGAGTTACTACCTCTAACCTTGGCCTTGTTCTTGATGAAGTCACATGATTGTTTATATTTAGTTTCGGTTGAATTCGTTCGACATTGTTCACCTTAATGTCTAATTTAAGTCCGTCTGTAACAAGGTCCTGAACACTTTTCAGTAAATACCCTGGTTGTGTTTCTTGAGCACTTTCGTCAAAGTTTTTCACGATTACTTTTAACTGTCTATTATTGTGTGTTGGGTTTGAGAGATCTGATGCCTGCTCACTAATTATCTTAAATTTATTGTCTATCTCGAATTTTGCCTATTTCTTCATGCATTTCTATATTAAGTCTCTTATCTAGTATGTTTGTTACCTTTTCTTCTATCTTCTTTTCTAGATTGTCCATATGACTGGCTATTTGAGTATTAATCTGCTCACCTAAGCAAGACATCATTTTCAACATTTCATCGAATCTATCATTAAAGTTATCTTTTGGCTCACCTTTCGATTTCTTACATGTAGGTTCTTCACATTCCAATACCTCTGCACTATTTTCTGCGGGTCTTTTCCAACTATGGAGTCTTTCTCTGCCTTTTGATTTCGTTGTTCCTTTAATTTGGGTCGATGTAGGGAACATATTTCCGACAGCCATTACCTCCGTTACGA